AATAACATCTCTTATATATCAAAAAATGCATTAAAAGACCAGAGGAAAAAAAGTGAATTATTTTATCATAATTTCCTATTTATTTATTTTTAATATTTATCTTATTAAATAAAATAACTTATTGTGTGCAGCGCCTATTAAATATTGATTTAAAGTTGAGAATTGATAGAAAGTGAAAGAAAAGGTAATGAAAAGTAAAAAAAAAATAGCTGTCTTTATTTGATTTTCTTAATTCAAATTTTGATTAGTAGTTAATTTGCTTCTAATATAACTCAAACAAACAAACAAAAAAAAAGATTATACAAACGCACACTAAAAATTTTTGTATTAATACCTTTTTTCTACTAGATTTCGTAGTTTTCATTTATTTTAAATATATTTTATTTATTATTAATGTATAATATTTATCAAATATAAACTCAATAAAAAGTAGCTGTGTTGCCAGTCATAAGACCCCTCTGACTCGAGTTTGCTCCCTACGTAAACGGATGACACATATGGGAAGCGGTATTCTCAAATATCACTCTTTTTAACTATATATATACTCACTACAAAGTCTTTAAGCATTGTCCATGTGTCATGCATAGCCTTTCTTCAACTTCTAACCACCAAAGGCTTGGCTTTTCCTCTTCACCACATGTAACTATGTAATGTTCTTGAATCAAATCACATGCAAGAGGATAATTAAATTACTTTGATGGATGGATCTCATGCATCCCCATCCAAAGGTATCAAAAAGCCCAAAAAAAAAAAAAAAACCATAATAAAGAAATTCTCAAGAAAAAAAGGTTTGGAATTTAATTTATTATGAAGAGCCCAATTATTTATTTCTTTTCCCATGTTCATAATGCATGTGACTGGACCCCATGCAAGAATCCTAAATATATGCGATGAGGGTTACTAAACATAATAAAATATTTCATTTCAATTTCTCTAACTCCTTGTGATAAATTAATGTTGGACAAGAGTGATGCTTCAAACATAAAATTATTGCAATATATTATTAAAAACTATGCTAAAGATTATTTTAATTTTCTCTCATGTAATCATTTTAAGCTATGCCTCATTTTGTTAATCTGAAAGATTACTATATTAATCGCATTATTTAACTTCATAGTGTAAGCTAAAACATCTTTAAAACTTTTTTTTTTTTTGTAATTTTAGCAATTTATTTTTATAATCACATTCTTTGTAAAAACATTTATTGAGAAAACTATATGACTATATTTAATAAAAAAGAAGATTAATGATATATTATTTTTATTGACAATTTAAGCTCAAGCAGTGCCCCACATGGCTCCTAAACACCACTGTGACTGCCAGATAAGAACAAAGGAAGTTTCAGTTCAAAAATCCAAGTAAAAAATTCAATTCACATTTCTTCATTATAAAAGGAGAAGAAGCCTGACCCCTTCATCATCTTCATCCCATCACCTCTAAATCCCCCCAAGAAAAAAGTTTGCTATGTCAAGGAACTTTACTAATGCATTCTTCTTCTTCTTCTTCTTCCTCCTCACGTCCCTTATAATCTCTCAGGAAGCTCAGGTTTCATCTCTCTGTTCGATTCTTTCCTTAATCTCTTTCTTAGTGTCCGTTTGGGGCAGCTTATTTGGTGCGGTGGCATTTTGAAAGCGCACCTGAATTGTTTGGGTAAACCGCGTTTCGACAGCTTATGCATTTTGAAAACGCTGAAAGCAACGCTTTCACACCGCACCTATCTAGGTGCGGTGACAGCTTTTTGACAGCGGTCTGATTTTTCCAAAAAAATAAAAAAATTATAATAGCCACCGCACCTAGCTTATCAACAGATTATTTTTAATCATCTTATCAACAAATTATTCAATAAGCTGCAGCTGCCCCAAATAGATCCTATAGCTGAAGTTGTAGGCGATTAATTATTTAATTACCCCTTTTATGATTTGCGTGTTGTAGGCTGATCATCTGTACTCGCCAGCTCCGGCGCCGGAAGCGCATGAGCCAGGCAAAGCTCCGGCCCCCCAAGCCCCTCATCAGCCTATCAATACTCTTCCATTGGTGATGAGATAAAATTTACTTCTTTGGTTTGTTACGAGTATTAGGCTTATAATTACATTTCATCTTTCTGACTTGCAATAATGGAATTGATTGCAGCATGGAACGACCCCTGGAAGCCTCCGTCCTCAGGGTATGTGAGAACTTTCTCATGCTTGATTGTCACAAATGTATTTAATTAGACTTTTAATTCACATGTCATAAAACACTTAAATTTGTAATATTACATAAAATATTTTATGCAGATGTTGATTATGCCACTAAAATACTATAGATATATGAATATGAAATTTTAATTATTAGATATATATATACATAAAAATTGTGTAGAGTACGGAATACCTATAAATTGCCATACTATCTTGTTAGAAGTCATAAACGCTGTGTCATTACTTCATTTATTATAATGTTAACAAAAATAAAGTTATATAAAAATAAGAGAAAAGAACAATATATATATAATAATAATAATAATAATAATAATAATAATAATAATAATAATAATAATAATAATAATAATAATGATAATATCATTAATAATAATCGTATTCAATAATAATAAATATTTTAAAGCTCTAATATATATATTAAATACATATTATTAATTGATAAGATTGCCATCATAGGAAAATTTACATACAAACCCTATAATTCATATGCAATTACAAATCTAACACTCAAAATTTAACATTTACACTAATAATACTTCGGTGTCATAAATCAATATATAAGAATATGTATTTCACTTTTTAAAAAGATAAGTATGATAATGTTTTTGTTCATGGTGTTAAAGATTTGAGCGACATATAAGAAGTATGTATGTTTTAGCATTAGATATATAAATGTCTATTGTGTGGTATATATGTAAATGCCCCCTTTTAGGCTCCCTTTGAAGGGAGAAAATATTTCGCCCAAATACTGCATATCCCGGATGGCCAACGACTAGTTTTCACGTCGTCATACTCGGCATTGGCGGGCGACGTGACCGCTGGTAGTTGGCCGTCTAGACTTGCAAAGGTCTTCCCAAAACCTTTGGTCGCCAAACAAAGCCTTGATATGATAGCTCCATGACATTCATGCAGAATGTGAAGGGAAGTGCGGCGGCCGGTGCTCGGCAACGGCGTACAAGAAGCCGTGCATGTTCTTCTGCCAGAAGTGCTGCGCCACCTGCCTTTGTGTGCCGCCGGGGACTTACGGCAACAAGCAGCTCTGCCCTTGTTATAATAATTGGAAGACGAAGAGAGGAGGGCCAAAGTGCCCTTAAGTGTAATATTTCTTCAGTAGATTCGTATCCTTAAAGAATTCTAAGCATGGAGTGTGGAGGAGAGTGTTGATCCAGATATAAAATTTAAAGGCAATATATGTTTAATATTTAAATGAATAAGAGAAAAAAAAATGTAAATTTGGCATGTATAAATAAAATGTTCTTTGTATTCTGTTTTTTATGAAAATTTACATACATACCACTCAATTCTGTTTAAAAGGAGTGATTGAATTTTTTGATGTGATATCAAATATTTGGATCGTATAAATGTAAAATTTAAACTTTTTAAGTGTCAGATGTGTAAATACATAGGAATGGGATGGTATATTTGAAAGCGCAAATAAAAGTGCATTTGAATTCCAATAAGTTCGAACAATACAGAAGAAGAATTCAGTGCAACGAATCACTCCCAGGAATTCTGGACAAGAACTCAGATTTAATCTTTCAATTTTAAAGCACAAAAATGAAATAAAAAATTTCAAATTTGTGCTGTTAGAAATTTTAAGGATATAAAGTTACATGGAGAATCATTCCCTTCAGGCACAAAGACGCAGTCTTGGGGCATCCCTGCACTCTCAAAAGGAAATATAAATCTCTCATCTCTAAAACTTGTGCAGATTTCTAAAAGATACAAAGGTTTCAAATCAAGGACTCTTAAATTCACCAATCTCATCTAATCTCAGCCTCATTGCAGGCATCAAAGTGTTAATTTGTCAAAGCAACTCGAACCAGTTTCTTCATCCTCACCAGAATCTGAATCCAAACTAACAGCGCAGCTTTCAGTTTGTGGCAAACCTTGTGAGAAATTTTCATCTGTACAATCTATACTAATCTCTTCCTGCGAAGAACCTTGATGTTCTTTAGAGCTGTTACTCATCTCCAAGCTTAAATCTTGTCTCCTCACAACATTCAGTACAATTCCGTCAACAATCCTGTCTGGTTGTATAAAGTCTCCCTCAGTCACAACAATGCTTCCAGGACTTGCTCCACCCTCACCTTCGTTCCCATTCCCACAGGTTCTGTTTGGTTCAGAATTAAGCTCGAGCTCGTGAAAAAAATTTATAAATTTGGTAGCAGAATGTGTCCTCATCAGAGGACCACCAGCCCTCGTCCATGAACTCAGTTCCAAAGCTTCTGACTCACCATCACTTCCCTTACCCGACGATTCGCAAAGTTGAATGTTTCGTTCTTCATTAATTTGAGTTGCAACGTCTGCAAGCATGTCGCCTTCAACCGAACTAGCCGAGTTCTCTCTCGCGAGAGAATTCCAAGAAGGGATTCGTTTCGAAGGGCTTATTGTGAGTTGTTTACCGGCGCCGTGACTGATCCCGTGCGAGGAGGCGGCAGCAGCCCTTGAGGCGCTCCTTTTCAGTCGACGAAAATGGTTAAGAAGCGCGACACATTCATCTAGAGTGAGCTCGATGGCACAGTTAGCCTTTATGACAGAAAGCTTCTCCCAGGTACACCTCCTGCCTTGGTTAACAGACTTTTGAAGCTCTGCATAAGTTGGGTTCTGTATGATCTTGGAATACTGATAAAAGAACATAAGTAGAATCAGTTTAATGATAAAGAGAATTTAGGGAATTTGAATTCAGGAGGAAGAAAATGGGTGGCATTTAAATACCTGAGCAAGTGTAGCAGGCATTACTATTGTGACATCCCCTTCCCATTCTTGAGCGAATAACTTTGCAATACTTCCCAGCGGAATACCGAGTTCAAGTATCTGGTTGCATCTATGTTTGACCTCCATTTCGGCGAGATGTGCGAGCTGTGGATCGCCGATTTCAAATTAGAAGATAGAGTAAAGAATCAAAAAAATCACAAGCAAGGGTTACTTCAGCCCATGTTAAAAGAATCTAAACTAAATTAACACTTTTATAGATTCTCGGACTAAAGTGACCATCCTAACGTCTCAAATGGATAATTTTCACACTATTCTCATACAAAAACTCACAGATTTCTGAAAAAAAAAAAAAAAATGAAAAGACAAAAATAAAAACTATAGGTATAAAAAGACCACCTTGGCAGCAAAGTTGCCTCCATAAGATCTCACAAGCTCCTTAAGTCTCAGTAAAGGCGATATATGAGGATTGGCCTGGCTAACAATGAAATGATTCACATTGAACAACTCTTTCAGCTGCATCATCGGCAAATCCATCTCCAAGCTCCCATCTCGCCAACGACGAGCCGCGCCTCCCGAACCTTCCTCCGGCCCCTCCAAGAATGGCGCATGGAAAGGAACAATCTCTCCAAACCTATCTTTAGCCATCAACTCCTGCGCCTCAAATAGACCCGGGAAAGCACACGAAGCCGTAACCGCGCTCCAAATAACCACATGCGGCGAAGTGAGATAGTTAAGACATCTCGGCGGTTCGTGCTTCCTTGGGGAGCAGACAGTGATCCCGAGGATTCGTCCTGTCAAGTCGTAAGCCTCCTGGAACGTTAGGTTGCTCGTAAGATGCCGCAACATCATTTGTAAATTGCGGATGTCATGAACGGCGCCTTGCGTCATTACCCGCTTGAATACGGAAAAGAGCCCGCCCATCTGATCGAAAAACTTGAGGGAATGCAGAGAATCCTCGAAGAAGGTCTCAATTTCCGGCCATGGCCGTGTCGCTACAATGGCGCACATGATTGATCCCACACTGGATCCAGCGATTATCCGAGGCAAAAGCTTGTTCTCCACTAGAGTTTTCACAACACCGACGTGGAAGGCTCCCAGAGACGCTCCGCCGCTTAGGAGCAAGGCTGTTCTGCCGAAGGCGTGTCTTGTTTCATGCATGAATTGGAGCCGTTCTTCTAAGAGGAATTCCTCAGATTCGGAATAGCAGACCATTTTCAGCTGTGTTGATACCTCGTCAATGTAGTCCTTTATGAGCTTGGGAACCTACAAAAATAGGACCTTTGAATCACAACCCCAACAAGCTGTAGAGTTCCTATTTCTTCACAAAAAATTCGTTTGAATTCATGTAGTTTCAATATTGCTTCTTCTTCACGATTGCATGATAGTGAGAATCTTCAGTTTTTATTGCTTCTTCTACACAATTGTATGATCTCTTTCTACTGTTTTCCTAGCACTACATGAGATTTACTGATTTTTCTATAAACTATCTACAATGTTTTTTGCATGCTTGAACATTTGAGTAGGCTCAGAGTAAATTTTCTACTGCAAATTAAAGATGAAATAAACGCTATCTTTAAATTTGACAACTTGGGCCACTTTTGTATAGCAAAAAAAATTATAAATTTGAATATTCACCCAATCAAGCTGCCAAATGCCCATATGCTGGATAATTACAACAATGTAAGCTATGCATCTCTGGGCATATGTATAGAGCCAGTAAACAGATTTCAAACAATGCATAATCACCAATAAGCCCAAAACAAGTCTGAATATAGGCTAGCCTAACATTGCAATTACAATTTGCATAAAAACTACGTAGGTGGAGTTAAGAGCCATACATGTCCAAATAAAATAAGAACAAACACCTGATTTCTTGATCCCTTATGGTATGGTTGTAAGCTTCTTTACCAGTATGCTCTCCGGCAAAAAAAAAAAAAAAAAAAAAAAAAAAAAGTCTTCTGAAACATATTTATTAGCATTAAACCTAGGAGAGGATTCAGCTCAGAGTGGTGAGATAATATTCAACTTGGGCAACCCCCCTTTGTTAGGTATGATGAGTTAAACATTCTTAATTGAGATTGTTCTTGGGTATCTCACTGGGGGTGTAAATAAACATAAAAAGCTTGCTCTGATGATTAACTTAGTTCTCTAAAACTAAATAAACTCTACTTAATCCTCCATACTATTCACATCTAACAAACTTTTAATTTTTAAATCCTGTAACAAGCAGTCAAACAGTTTGCTGGAATTACCTGACATGTAAAGAAAGTTCAGACAAACAAACTTCAAGAATTTAACACAAAACATACTTATTAAACCCAAATTTAACGAATTTATTAAATCTACAGAACAAAAAACCAACAAGAATATCACACCTGAAGCCTTCCCATGTGAAGCTGTGGATTGCACATATTTCCCAAATTCCTCATCAGATCAGCCCTCATGCAGAAGACGATATCCCTCAATGACCCCTCTTCCCTCCGCTGCCGCAGCTCTCGGAGTTTATGCCTCACCAACTCCTCATCATAACACTCAGAATCATTCGCTCTCGACGGCATCTCCTTGTCGAGCATCTTAGCGGCATGAGCCCATTCCTCGTACGACAGCGCGCACTTCATCATGTTCCGCCAAAACCGCCGGCGTAAAGATGCATCCGCCGCCGATCGACCGCCAGCGAACTTTCTCAGAAAGAGAGCAGCAACGGTTACCATCAAAAGAATACCTTGCGTGTTCCTCGGATGGAGCCAAGACGCAACCGGATAGATGATTCGCTGCAAGAACTCCCATATCTGACGCCGAATCTGCGTGAAGGAGATGGAGAAGAGAACTCGCAACGCGAGGGTTCGGCCAATGATCGACGACGGGCCGATTGAGAAGGCATCGACGCTTGCTTCATTGCTGATATCCATCGCCAAGCTGCGGACTTTTCCTCTTCTCCGGGATTTCTAGTCCAAATCTCACAAAAACAGATGCCAAGATGCGAGCTTTATAACATTTTGAGGTCAAATTAGTCAGGTAAGAATAATCCAAGCTAGGGTTTGTTGTAATATTTTATTGCAATCGAGAGATTGGGGCTTCGAGACCGTGATTGCGAGTGTTGGAAGAGCTCGCGTGTAAGCAACAGGCCGGGGGTAAAAGCTCCGCGAAGAAGAAAGACGAAAATCGAAAAGACGGGGTTTTTACCGAACTAATGAGCAAACATTAATATTTCGGAGAAAAGATAGATCAGAAAGGGAAGTAAGATAAGGACCACGCAACCGCTAACGTTTCTCTGAGCTGGATTTTACGCAGCGAAGAAACGGATTGCTTTCAGGAAAAAGGTTTGTCCATGCTCCACAGTTGGATTAAAAGAAAAAAGAGAGATTTTTTTATTATAGTTTAAATTTTTAAATGCATATTAAACCAAAATTTAGGCATTTAATTAATGTGATTTATTTATATAACTAATATAATATCTACATTATATTGAAATGAAATTTTAATTTCATTATAAAATTAAAATTTATATAGTAAAAATATAGATTGAAATATTAAATAGATAAGTATTAAGTAAAATCCAAATAATTTGTGGGCATGTACGACCAAAAGTATTATTTAAAAAATGTGTTTGAGGAAACTGCGGCGAAAATGAAAAAAAAAAAAAAAAAAAAACCTACTTAGCTTGCCAGAGAATTTATTACAATAAACTGCACCTTATATGAGGTTAATTTTAATAACATGAAATGGATGTAACAGTAAAAGTAATTCAAATTTATTGTCAATATGGTAGAGATATCATGATTCCATTTCAAAAAATAATTTTGCGAGAAAATATTATGTCTGGATAGGCAAACGATAACGTAGATCACACCACGTTGTGTGTTTCGCTGCATGGTGTGATCCACACTGTCGTCCGTACATCCGTCATCTGAATATAATATTCTCTTGTCATATAGCCATCCATAATTTTATATTAATGTTCAAAAGTTTTAAATCATGTGAGCAAAAAAACTATAAATCAATGATAACACCATGCTAAAGTAAACTTCTTTGGATTTGGGATCATAAGATTCAACAACATCATATAAATGATAGGAAAATGTCGCCTGATTGACATCATCGATGTTTTGATATAATAAACTTACTTTATTTTTATTAAATTTACACTCAAAACAAATATTTAGTTGAGAATCATCCAACCACAAATATGCTTTGATTCGAGTCCAAAGAAATATAAATTGAACACTTGAAAACTTTCCTACACCTTGTGAGAGAGCATATAATATTCTAATATTGTGTGCTTGTAAGCAAAACAAATCTCTCTGAGAGGAATCTAATGGGAATAAGATTGTCTTATTTCGATATTACCAAGTCACTTAAATGCCACACAAATCTCATATGATTAAGCATATTAACACAAATCTCAATAAAACACAATCGACACATAAGAAAGAGCCCGAGTTGAAGAGAGTTAATAGATTTGAGGAATATTGGAGTTCTATATGACGATCATCTCAACTATCACCATCGCTTGATTATCTTTCGAGCAAACATTGTCGCTCAACTATGAAAAATAATTACCCAATCTTTCGAGCAAACATTGTCTCTCACACACAAGAAATTTTCTAATTTTATCATATCTATCCCAATCTGAATCTGAAGGCAACCAACTGAAATTATTATCTCGATCAGCAAGTGAGTGAACACATTACGAAAAATAAGAGCAGACTCAAGCATCAAGAATGTTGAGTTTCATCTTGTCGGAACATCAATGCACAAACCCTTTGTTGTTGATATCCCTAATTGTTTGGCTATGTCAACAAACTTATGCAACCTTGCTGGCGACTTCTTTATATATTTTATAGCCTCTCTCATATTACAAATGATGTCTTGAATCTCTTTTAAGCCAACTTGCACCATGATATTTAAAATATGCGCACAATAATGAACATGAAAAAAATGCTTCTTAAAATGCAGTTTCCCTCTTGCCATAAAATTTGAATGAAACAAACTAGTAGCAACATCATTATTACTAGCATTGACTAGAGTGATAGTAGATACTTTATCTTGTATCTTCTAATCTAACAAACAATGGGAAATGACATCATAAATAACTGTACTGGCATGAGGTGGATCCAATTCAGTGAAATTAATAATTCGTTTTTGAATTTTCCAAGATTGATCAATATAGTGAGCAGTTAGACACATATATTCGATTGTTTGATTTGATGTCCAACAATCAGATGTTAATGAAAACCTTTGAATATCCCTAAATTGTTTTTTTAACTTCTCTTTCTCAAACTCAAAAATCTTCATGCAATCAGTTTTTATTTTATTCCTTGAAACTTTCTCATAATTAGGGTTTAAGGATTTCACTAAAATATTAAGTCATGTATGGTCAACAATATTAAACAGATACTCATGCATTATAATCATTTTAGAAATGAGCTCTTCAACCTTATGTTGATCGTAGCTTTTTTTATCATGAAATACTGTGATCTGAATGTCTGCACTGAGATCAAGTGACATAAAATTTAACATTTTTTTCCTTTTTTTCAGAAAAATCATCATTTTCCTTGCTTTTAACTTTGATTTGTACACATTCTCTAACATGACGTAGAATTTGAGAAGTAGTTACTGTTTTAGATTTTTGAAATTTTGATCGACAACATTTGCATTGCCAAAAAAAGTTGGAACCCTCTTAATTGGAAATATAACCTCCACAAAATACTCACACTGTAGACTTTCTCTTCCTACCCTTTTTAGCGGCGACTTCTTCAATGTTATTATCTATGACAACATGAGGAACTTCTTCTGGCTTTGTACCTTGCAAAGTAATATTGACATTTTTGTTGTTATTATGAGCTTCTGGTATATCTAGCAACTTATTGCTGGATGATTCAAATTGTGAAAGATCAAGTTCAGGCATATTTGCACTGTAAATGAAATAAAAAACTCATATTCCTTATGTGGCTCGTGTTTTTCTTATTGCCCATCACAAAACTAATAAAACTTAACCAACCAAAATTTGAACTAAATGCTAAACAAAAAAAGTATGCCTTCTCTTGAAGAAAGAGTCTCAACTTGACCACCTTAAGTTTTAAGAAGCTCTCACAAAGAATCTTTAGCTGCCAAGTGCCAACCTAATGCATGATCAATCATATACATCAGAAAAATTGAAAGCTTATATGACATTGCAGTGCAACAAAACTAAGTTAAATCTTTAACAACATACCAAACATACCACTTCTACTAACTTTTTCAAAGATAACTTGTATAATTGTATTACACCTATAGAATGAAGACATTTCTTGAACACATTTCCACATTTAAAAAGACACCTTGATTTTCTTTTACTTTTTTGTTGCCAAAAAATTTTTAGCAAATAGCAATAGCATATAGCTCCAGAGAGTAGAGAGTACCTAAATTTTTCCTTGTCCAATGTGTCTATGAATAGATTACTCAATTTCCGTTCTGGTGTAGTCTATAGACAGTTTTAAGTCTCCAAAATGCATATAAAAAAATTCCTATGCTTTACAAAAAAAAGAGTTAATTTCTTTCCTTTTGTACAGACAATATTTTCATTTTTTTAAGAATTTAATCGAGTTTATCATTGAACGAGCCACATCTATTTGGGCTTCTTATTTTTTGTGCTGTGCTAGTGCCAAGCCAAGTCCGTTGATAGGACCAAGCAAAAGCCAAAACCAGACTACACGGACTACATGAATCATAAGTTACTCTTTCTAAGGGAAGTACAGCTACACGAATCATGTATTATTATCTATTACAAAACAGTAACTTCAATGATCATCAAAACAATCCCATTTAACAAGTTCAAACTCTAAATAATTAATCTAGCAACAGTGCAAGAATATTTCAGAAGGATAAATATTATGTTGACCTCACTTTATAACGAAAATCAAAATAAATCTAAATATTATAACGAAAAAATCACTTAATCAGATTTACATACACATAAATCTAAATGTGTTGACCTCACTTAATCCAAAAGCCTCACTTTATAATGAAAATCTAAATAAATCTACCTCACTTTATTATGAAAATCTAAATAAATCTAAATAAATCTAACATTATAACAAAAAAATCACTAAATCTAAATAAATCTTCTACAAGCCCTAAGATCACTCAAAAACAAGCCCTAAGATCACAAAATCTAAATAAATCTAAAAGATATTTAAGAAAGTTTAAGATAAGTGACATTCCTGAAAATAAATATGAAATATTATTGAAAAGATACTCAAAGATAACACCTAGGTCTCTAAACAAACAGTCGTGCAAGACTATCGAGCAAACAAGCAATGATACCAATCAATCGAGCCAACAGTGCCGAGAAGGAGAAGTAGAGATTCGATGAAGAACACAGACGACAAGCCCTAAGCTGTCGCGGCCGAGGACTAGAGTCGCAAGAGGGATAGGGAGAGGGCGCCGAATGAAGGCGAGAAGTTTTGAGACCGAATGGGGAGGCCGGTTAGGGTTTTTTTTGTTAGGTAGTATATATATTTTAAAATATTTTAATTATTAATTTTTATTACTCTGTTATATAAATACATAATATTTATATAACTAATATTGAAATATTATAAGTAATAAACTATTATATATTATAATTTATGGGATTTGATTTAACAAAATGTGATAATTTATTTTTTTAGAAAAATTTAATTAATTATAATTTATAATATTTAATTTTATAAATACGTATTATGTATATTTATATATATTTATTTTCGATCCAATTCGAGCCGAACACGAGCGCTTTTTTTTCGTGTTCGGCTCGTTAGGTTTAACGAACGACCCGAACGCAAGCTACTTAACGAGCCGAACACGAGCTGTTCGCGCACAACGAGCCATATTCATATTGACAGCCCTAGTTACAATACATAGTTTATTCTCTTTAGTTGCATAAAATATCAAAAGAAATGCCCCTCCTCAAAAGTTTCTTACTTCCTGTATAACAAAAAGCAGCTTCATGGAAATGTGATCAAACCAAAAAGGAAGGGAAAAGATAGACACTGGGTCATGATGACTGAACAATAGGTTTAGTCGGCCAATTGAATCAAACGACCTTCCCTCTACGAGCTGCAAAATCAACATAGAACTAATGACCGCCAAGCCCCCATGAACCCACAGTAACTAGTCTCAGATTCTCTGAGCAAGATCAAATGACAGGTTAGGGGATCTCAAAAAGTTAGTCGATCAAAGGAGACACTCAATAACAAGCAGATGAAATTAAGTCTCACGCCAGTCAACTCAAAGCTAGAGTTAGGTGACTTAGGCAAATTAAAAGG